AGGAGAGGGGAGGGCAGGAGGGGAACAAGAAAAGAGGCAGCTTGAATTGTGAAGTCACCGGCTCCAGCTCTGTTTGCACTAGGCTCTTTGCCGCCGCTGACAGTACGTTCATTGCTGCCTTAGCTGCCATTCCCTCTGCTGACCTTGCCTTTGAAGATAACCCACCGGCTTCTATCACAACACCACCAACTGCAACCTGCCCTTGATAGCTCGGACGGTGGACACTGCCATAATTTACTAGATTGAACTTTGGAGCTGGAAACCTCTCTTTCGCTGCCCACTGCAGCAGGTGGACCTTGTGGATCACAGGAAGCTCTGGTGCTTCCGCTTGCATGATTCAAGAGTCTTTTGTCTTTACCAGTACCACCGTCAAAGTCAAAGTCGGAGTTGGAGTCGGAGTCGGAGTCGGAGTCGAAATCGAAGTCGAAGTCGAAGAGGAGCACTGTCTCTCGACTTCAGGAACGCTGCAGACAACATACCAAGCAGACTGTCATATAATATCGGTGGCCACAACACAATGTAACTAGAACCCTTACAATGCGTCACATCAGTAGGTAGGCAGGTAGGTAGGTAGGGAGGGAGGTAATGAGGGAGGCAGGAAGGTAGACAGGGAGGAAGGTAGGCAGGGAGGGAGGGAGGGAGGGAGGTAGAGATGTGGGCATGCCGTGAAAAGAGAGAGAAGTATGGCCATAAAAAATAGACATATCAAAGACCTATCAAGTAGGCAGAGGAGAATGTTCAGGAATTTCTACTTGAGAGGCATCAATGACCAATCAAGGGGCACGGACTGACACCACCGGGGAGGTTAACTTCTCTCAAGACAACGGAAAAAAGGCTGTGTGGAACCAACCTGCAGACTCATAACAGCTTGCAAACATCGAAGGCCAGATTAGACAGTGGCCCAATTGTCAGCATGATAGGAGTACTCGAAACTCACAGCAATAAAGCAGAGTAGCCAGCCCCTCACACTCATTCGCAGGAGAAGCCGTTCACAGAACCCTAAATTTTCAGGGTTTTTGGGTGGTCTTTATAACAAAAAGCTCCCACACCTTTTACACCAAACTTGTCACCAATCCATACAGTGGACTACAAATAAATCAACAGCAAAAAAAACAAAAAAAAAGGTGAAAGGAGCCTAAAACCCTAAAGTTAAAAAAAAAAAAAAGGTAAAATTCAAAATTGTGTTTTCTACTAACTTTTCATGCAATTATTCAGGATTTCCAGGATTTTTTTCAGGATTTTTTTCAGGATTTTTTCAGGATTTTTCCAGGAAATTTTCGGGATTTTTACGGGATTTTTCGGGATTTTTCAGGATTTTTTCAGGATTTTCAGGGGGTGCCAAAATAGTCAATCTCCAAAGCTCCAACAAACACCAGACTTGGCACACACAAACCTTGACCAGATACAAGGTCAGAGCAAAACAAAACCAAAAAAAAAAAAAAAAAAAAAAAAA